ATCCCCCTGGAGCTGAAGTGGAGAAGTCTTTATTATGTAAAGGGACTGATTTGGCCTTCTTAATGGCCCATTGACAAAGTGGGTGGAGGCAGGAAGCTACAGCAGGGGTAGTCAACCTTTTATACCTACCGCCCGCTTTTGCATCTCTGTTAGTAGTAAAATTTTCTAACCGCCCACCGGTTCCACAGAAATGGTGATTTTATAAAGTAGGAAAATAACTTTACTTTGTAAAATTTATAAAGCACGGTTACAGCAAACCCCTACCGCCTACCATGAAAGCTGGAACGCCCACTTGTGGGCGGTAGGGACCAGGTTGACTACCACTGAGCTACAGGGAGCTATTCTCAATTTAAAACATGTTTCTTCCTTTTCACATCCAGGGAAATATAATATTCTGCCTTTTCAATATTTCCTAGGATATTTCATTTTTTTCTGGGAGAGGGCTGGGTGATAACTTTCCACTGTTGGAAGAAAGCGTTGTCAGGAGACTCCTATTTCCAGATTTCCTTCTCTTTCCGTTGCAGTAAAGCAGTGGTTCTCAACCTTTTCTTCACCACAGATCCCCTTTAAATACCTTTTGTGGCCACAGACCCCCAAGACTTAATTCAATATTTAAATCATATTTCTTCAAGCCTTTGCTGACCTCCAGGGATTCATGGTCTACAGGTTGAGAACCACTGCAGTAAAGCACAGAATAGGTAGATTGCAATTCATTGGTAGAATTGTATGGTGTATTCCCTCATGCATGATTCTCTGTCAAAAAGAGAATCGGGATAGTGCCAAATGCTATTGATCGGATCCAAGGGACATGTGGCCTGATTAGGAGTGAAGGCCCCTAGGAAAAGCCCATCGAACGTCAGTTGCCTGCATTTCTGTTCCTCAACTGCAGTCATCAAGTCTAGGAGCATCATTGTTCTAGTCTGATGCTTTCTTTTGGTGTTCACGATTCTATGGTTTAAACAGATCTTTCCCCTAAGCAAACAAATCCTGTATTAGTAATTCATTTGGGAAGCTTAGTACTTCATTGTCCAAGCAGTGCCAGATTGAAATCTCCTTATTCAATGTCAGCTGTTTTTCAGCCACTTGCCAATTGATTCTGGAGGGATATGCAGCACATGGAAGCTAAATCTGGATCCATGGAAACAAAGCTTTGTTAATTAAGTCTTATCTATTCCTCCTCCTTTCACCATATTTCTGAAGTTGAACCTTTGTCTGAATCATTTGTTGAAATGTCTGCAAGCAAAACAAGCTCGAAGAGCATCAAGGACTCCACATTTCATATACTGTAGTCAAAAAGGGGGAAATCACAAAATCACTATTTTCAAGCTAAATTCCAACTTGCTAAGGGTAATCAAAGCCCAAGGAATTGGAATAATTCCTTATCCAAGTAAAAACTTTTCTAAAGAATTGCTTTCCTTTTCTTCTGGATATATATCGTAATATGTTCGCTAAATTCTTATATCCTTTAGATTTTATTTCTTTCATGTAGGTAAGCGGTATCTTTGTTAGCAAGTTATCATATTTCACATTTCTGCATCTGACTATAGTTTATAAAAATATCTGCTAAATTTATGTTATCCTGCTGTATGCCTAGAGAAGTACCGTGTTTCCCCAAAAATAAGACCCACCCCGAAAAGCCCTAGCCTTAATATAAGCCCTACCCCAAAAATAAGCCCTAGTGAAGGGGTGGGCATGGCTAGCACAGGAGGCAGCCCTTTCCCAGTCACCTCATGGCGGCTCGGCCCCTTAAACGCAGCCCTGCGGATCAGCTGAGCCAGCGAGGGCTGTGAGCTGCCACTTGTTCTGCCTCTCAGGGCACTTGGAGGTGTTTCTGACACATTCTTGCCAGCCCCAGTCCTGCCCCCAGTGAGGCAACTTAGCAGCCAAAAGCCCCTCTATTCCACAGCTCATCTTGTGGCTCTGGAGCAGGCGGTGACCACAGATTGCCCTCCGCCAGGCCTGGAGCTCTGATCTTGCTCAGGCTGCTGCTACAACGAGGCAGAGGGCCGTGTGGCACATTGAAATCAGCTCCCCACACTTCTGCCCACCTGCTGACCTCGCAGGGGCTCTTCACTCTGCTTGCTGTGCTGCTGTCAGCAGCTCTCCTGGGCTCCTCCTGTCTGGCATTGGGCAACGCAGCCTCTGGAGCACCTCCCTGCCACCGGCCTGCCAGGGTCCCTTTGCCAGTCGTCATGTTACCCCGCGCAAGCTCAATGGCAGCCCTGCAGTGGGAGGGAAGGGAGATTGCCTCTTCCTCCTTTGTACCCCCAAATCCCATCTTTCCTGGGTACTGATCCCCTGGCCTGCACACATCTCACTCAAGCAACACCTGCAAACTCAATGTTACCCGCGGAGGCGTCCCCAACATGCTCTGCAATGCTCTGCCGCAGCTTTGGAGCAAACCTCCACCTTCCCTGCACAGGATTCCAAGGCTGGAGGTGTGTGGGGGGGGATTTCTTGCCAATTGTCCTTTCAAATAGGAACCGATTTAGGCATTTGATGGCCCACAGGCATATCCAGCCCTTTGACCATCCCTATCTGTCCTGCAGCCGGGGGGGGGGGGGGGGAGAGTGATGATGTGGGGGCAGCAGCCCTCCACAACAGTCCCAGTTTCTCATGTTGCTCCTTGGAAAATTAATTGCTTAATCCTGTTCCCTCTGGTCTTCAATACAAGTGTTATTTTTAGTAAATCTGGCATTAAACATGCTACTTTCCTTTTCAAATTGTTAGATGTAAGCTCAATTATTGTTTGGAAAAATGCAACTAAATTCTGTAGGTCTTATTCAAGTGGTGGCGTATTGAAATCCTGTTGATTGTAATGGGCCTAATTAATCTTTTATCTCACACTTTTTGTGTTGCAAATGTACTAATTAGAACACTGTAGTAGATTCACACAGAAAATATTGTAGTCAATTAATGTGTATCTTGTTTCTTTCTTAATTTTTGTAGATGGGATGGATGTCCCCAAGGAACCTGATAGCCCCGGGCAAGATAGAGGAATCATTAATGAAGATATAAATGCCAAAATGAAAAAATCAGAGCAAAATTCCATTGAAGATCTTAACAGTAATCTGCTAGATGCATCAACTAAAACTCCACAAGGTTTGCTAGGATAATATGGAAACCTTTGCTTTATTTGGAGTGATTTACAGGATATGAAATATTCTTTCCATCTGTCTTTAAAATTAGTAAAGACATATAGTTAAAGAGTATAAATGAAGTACATCCTCTTAATACGTTATTTTGAAAGATATTAGACCGTCACGGAATGATGTGAATTCTTGGTACAATATGTTCATATTTATTTCTCCCAATATTTATAAATCAAATCTCACTTATCACTTGTAGTGTAATAACATTGTCACAAAACCTTATAATGTTAGCCAGGCATGTATTACCGCTACTTATTGGTTCCTAAACCCAGTTTTTTTTATAAAGTTTTTTATTTTTTCATTTTCATAGCATATAACCACATGTATACTATTACATAGCCAACATCATATTGTATTATTAAATGTTTACATCAATTCATCTTACCATCAACCCCCCAAAACAATAATTGGCTCTTCTGCTCTCCATATACCATATTTGTACCTTATCCATCACTTTTTTCTCCCTCTCCTCCCCCTTGTCCTCCTATCCCTCTCTTCTTCCCTTACCTCCCTCCTCTACTTCCCACTCTTCATCTCATTTACTTGGTGTATTTCAGTTTCTGAGCAAGCTCCATTTTATGTTGATGGTATTTATAATTCCTTTTCAATGTGCATGTTTAATTTTAACATGTATTCTCCTCCTTAAAAAAAATAGAACAAAAAAGTATACATATAAGATAAGATACTTTATTTGTATGCCGCCCTTTTCCCTGGGGGGACTCAGGGCGGCTCACAGTTCANGAAGGAAGGAAGGAAGGAAGGAAGGAAGGAAGGAAGGAAGGAAGGAAGGAAGGAAGGAAGGAGTTGGGAAGGAGAGTGGATCTTTAATGCACTCTCCATAATTGTGGTGGGGGGACTTAAAGGGCACAAGTAATTGATATAAAATGATCCCGATTGCGAGAATGATTTATTGATTTATTGAATCTGAAAGGATTCACTTGGCACCGTCCAGGAAAACATGCAGAAAAAAACAGCTGTGGGGAGGGGCAGGGAGGAGAATGCCTATATTTCTTTGCACAGCCCTAGCTAGGCTCATTTCTGTACAAGCATTCCAGCCGAAATGACAGGTCTGCTTTTGGCAGGGGGGGGGGGGCAGAAGCAGCCTTCATCCAGCCTGTCTTTCAGATGGAACCTACACAGACTTTCAAGTCGAAGCCGAGAGGCAACGGCTACGTGCAACTTCTGTTTTATCGCCGCGCAGCAGCACACGGCCTCCATTTCCTTCTAAGTAATTCCAAAGGGAAATGTAATGCTTTCAGAGTTGTTCTTCCCACCACACCCAATTCTTTCTCAAAAGCACAGCCACTCCTTGTTTCTTTCTCTCTCTCTTTTTTTTCCCCCTCGTCACCAAGAAAGGTGAAAACTTCCCGCTTGCAGGGAAATTGTGCTGAGTTTCAGCACCGTTCTATTTGCTGCCAAATCCTTCCCAAGGCCAGGGCCGCCTTGCCCTCAAACGGCGGTGCTTTTTCCTGGAGGGAGAGGGGGCAGAAATCTCTTTCTCATCACCTGCCAAGTGATGAGGAGCATCTAAAGTTCCTTGCCCTAATAAACAACGGGGCCCTGCTCTGTTTGTGGAATTGCAATGGGATTTCTCTATTTCGGGAGGACGATAACCTTTTCGTGAGCCAATACAGGGAATCTTTGTCTTGCAACAGTGACCATTCAAAGTTACGACAGCCCTGAAAAAAAGGGGACCCCTGACCACTTTTCACACATCCCTTGCAGCAGCATCCTCGTGGTTATGTAATCAAAATTCAGATGCTTGGCAAACCTGACTCATCATTTATGATGGTTACACTGTCACAGTGCAGTGCAATTCCCCCTTTTGCGATCTTCTTACAAGCAAAGTCAGATTCACCAACGGACCATGTTATTATCTTGACAGTTGCAGTGATTCACTCAACAACTGGCAAGAAAGGTCATAAAATGAGGAAAATTCACTTAACAGTCTCGCTTAGCAACAGAAAGTTTGTGCTCAATTAAGATAAGATAAGATAAGATACTTTATTTGTATGCCGCCCTTTTCCCTGGGGGGACTCAGGGCGGCTCACAGTTCAGAGGGAGGGGAGGACAAACCAAGTTACAGATAAGACAATACATCATTAAAAGCACAACATTCATACTATTCGGGCAGGGTTAAAGTC